GCTCATATAAAATTTAATTTAAGTTTATACTCACTATAATGCAAGTAAACTTAGTGCGTACGCCCACTTATTACATACATATTCTATGTATCATAAATATATTTGTAGTCAATCAGAAATTTGTAAAATGCTGTTTAATAACGTCAAGGCCTATTATTCGTGTTACAAAATTTTTATAAAACTGATACACGAGTCTTAAAACTCACAAAAAATGGTTTTAAGTGATACTAAAAAATTTTTAATGATGACCTTTATTTTTTTGGCAAATAACTTATTTTTGGAGAAAGAATGTCTAATTTTAAATTACTAAAAAGACTACNTACTAAAAAGTTTTTAATGATGACCTTTATTTTTTTGGCAAATAACTTATTTTTGGAGAAAGAATGTCTAATTTTAAATTACTAAAAAGACTACTACTGCTAAAAAGACGGTTGATCCGTCCTGCTGCCCACGAATATAATGTATACTGTGGACTCATATTCGTAACAAGAATGTTTTCTAATGTTACCAGTGCTCGAATTGGGGGGGGGGTGCGCAGGGGGACGTAGCTTCTCTACTTTTTTTTAAATTTTTTTGCGCACCCCAACTACTTTTTTTTATTGGGACGGTAGGACGGTGGAAAATACAACCCTTTTTTTTTTTTTTTAATATTAGTATGATAACGAAATATGATTTATTAATAAAAACTAAATAAAGTAATGAGTAAAAAAAAAAGGTCTTCAAAATACTAGGGACGCAGTTTTCAAATTGTTAAGTTGAGCTCCCCTACTTATTTTTGGCCAATTCGAGCACTGAATGTTACAAAATAAAACTCCACGTAAATTTCTGACAGATTTCCGATCAATAGATATTTTCATTATATTTGCATTATTATTTATGTGTAAAAATGAACACAGTAAAGTTAAAATTTAAGTCTCATCACCCGTCAATAATAACAATTATTTTATAAATTCAGATAAGCGACTGCTAAATGGTACCCCGGTTCGTCGATAACAAAGTATAAAAATAACTGGTTTTGATCGTTGGCAAGGTAGCAGTTGAAGGGTGAAGGTAATCGGTTACTGTCATTCAACAAAAAATTCATCACGTTATAAATGCCACTAGGCATTATAAAATTCATTATTTTGCATAAAAACTGTTTTGTGCGGGACTACTTTATTTGATCTGTATCGATGCTAGAGTCCCAAATTTTTTACCAAATTACAAAGGAGAAAATTATCTGTGATCTAGCGTTTTAATAATTTTGATAACACAACTCTGAAGCTATTTATTAAACATTTAAAAAACCAAAAAAATAGGAATGTTTAATAGTAAATTGTCGTAACTCAAAAATATAATAAAAAACAAAATTAAAATAATAAATGACAGAGAGGCAGAATGATTATTATTGTTGGTGTAAAAAATGTGTAAGTGAGAGTTACTTTTGATTCGGGGTGTAATTCGAGGGTCATAAAATAACAATGTAAAAAAAAATCTTACCTGGTAAATTCTCTGGTTCTTATAATTATCCTTAGTGATGATATCGGTGAAAATGGTAAATAAATACACAAGTTCAGAATTTAAATTCACAAATTAACACATAAAATTTCGACAATGACGATTACGACGTTCGCACAACTTAATGCGGAGCACGATAAAAACAGCCCAATACGGAGCATGAAATGAACAGCCTGGAGCAAAGGTTTGCTCTGGCTTTTTATAATATTTTTTTACCCCCAAAAATCGTCACTGTCGAATTTTTAGTATAATTGTTTATTGATAAATAAGCATGAAACACAGAGATCAATACAGATGAATAGAACATAAATTATTTTGACATTTACATATACAGGGTGTTCAGTAAGTAAGGAAACGGGTTTCTATTGTTCTCATTGTTTGTAACAATAGAAACCCGTTTCCTGACTTACTAAACACTCTGTATAACATTAACATGTTTTTTTACCAGCAAGACGAAAATTGATACAATGCATTTAACTATTAATAGTAGAATAACAAAGATGACAAAAATAATATATAGATTTTCTTTTGGTAAGGAAGGATTTTAAAAGTAATTATTAATTGATTTATGAACGAACCGCATACACTACAATGTAGCCAAACAGTATGAGTTTTTTGACTATTTCTCTTAAATGTTTATCTAAGTTTTTGTTCGAAAAGGGTCATGTCCTTGTAAGGATATAATGTATAATGAAACAAGTTAAAATGTACCATTTCTATGGATAGAAGTGGTGACTATTTGAAATGAAAAAAGAATATACTAATAAATACTAAAAAGATAGCATTGTTGAATACATGAACAGGGTATTTTAGTGTTGTCTCATATAAATAATCGTGACGATTATATTACGACAAAATATAAAGTACTAGAAATTATGTTAACAAAAAAAAAAAAAAACGCTAGATCACATATAATTTTGTCCTCTATAATTTGGTAAAAAATTTGAAACTCTAGCATCAATACAGATCAAATGAAGTAGTCCCGCGCAAAACATGTTGAAACCCGTTTTTCATTCTCTGTATGGCGTCCTCTTTAAAGAAACAACCCTAGTGTCTTAATTTAATAAAAGTTTAATAAAAAAGTAATAAAGGTTTAATAATAACTCAAATGTATTTATTATAGATATAATTAAACAATGCAAAACATACAAAATACTAAAAACACAATAAAACAATACACAAAATGAAAACTTAATGTCATAAACGTACCGCGCGAAAAGAGATTACCTTCGGTGCTCCTGATGTCCTCTCTCCTCTACGATTCATTCCATTTCGTCTTATATACTAAAATATTTTGTTTTTCTTCTTTTTGCAAAGTTAATAATACTATCGCTTTCAAAAATGTTTATAAATATTTAATTCCTGGTCTAGTAATAATAGATCAGGAAATTAAAATTAAACGAAACATTACAAAAATGTTTTACTTCCAGCTTTACAAATGATGAACTATATTACAGCATACAGACTGATTTTTTTATCATAACCCACTCATTTACTTGTAGAATAAATATATTTTAAACATTATTTTTGGTTTTCTTTAGTTACACATTATTCTTAAATTATTAACTATTTAAAACTTTTTATGTTCATCCCTTATGCCTTGTAAGGGTGTCAACTTTGTCTTTTTGTCTTTTAAATGGGAACACATATTTTGAATATAATAAAATGTTTGGATTTTTAATTAAATAGTAAATGGCATTTGAATTTTTAATATAACTTTATTAGTTTATTAGATATAAACATTTAAAGTTTCAAATTTTTGAGTTAATATACATGTATAATACACATGATGATATGATTACAAATACAGGTAGCTAAATGGTTTATATGATATCAATGACAACTATCATACATATACTTTCTGTATTGTCAATTAGTGTATTTATAAACTCACAACAATGTGCCTTACTACCATTGATAATAACAATGCTGTGTNCTATCATACATATACTTTTTGTATTGTCAATTAGTGTATTTATAAACTCACAACAATGTGCCTTACTACCATTGATAATAACAATGCTGTGTACCTGCTAATTTCTTTGAAGTTGTTTTAAACAAAGTAACTCATAACTAAATACTTTATTTATAATAAGTAAACAAATAATAAAATCTCCTTTCAGTATTGATGTTCGTAAATTACTTGCTTTTGATGATGTTTCAGTGTCATTCCACTTCGAAATTATAAATAACGATTCAATTAGGTACACAAAAAGCTCAAGAAAATCATTGACAGCATAAAAACGTTCAACTCATTTAGTCGCACATAATTGTTTTAATGATTTTTTAGTTATACATTTTTGACTTTCTTCGATTTGACTTTTCAACACATCTTTTCGCTTTGGGTATATGAAAAAATCTCTAACTTTAGATGTTGTTCCTAATCAATTTCGTGTTTCTTGTATAGAAGATGAATAAGAAATAGCAAGGTTTAAAACATGAACAGCACAATGAACAAACGTCGCAAGCGGATAACTTTGGTGAATAAGAGATTGAGCTCCGTTAAATTGACCAGACATAGAAGCACATCCATCGTAACACTGTCCTCTAAGGTATTTTGTTTCTACACCAAATGAATGTAAACTTTGAATAATAATATATAAACCTTTTCCAGTAATATCTGTTGTAGGCACAAACTGAAGAATTCTTCTTTGATAATCATATTTTCAACATCTAAATATCGAACACACAAAGTTACTTGTTCGCTTCCACCAATGTCGGCCGTTTCATCAGCAAGTATTTTGAAACATCTTTGGGCATTTATGTTTGTTACGATTTTATTTAAAATAATTTTATTACAGGATTCAATTATTTCATTTTGAAGTGTTTCACTTGTATATTTTATTGTTTCTTCAGCTTCCAAAAATGATTTTAAACGGTCATCTCCTTGGGCTCTGTATCTNGATTTTAAACGGTCTTCTCCTTGGGCATTGTATCTTAATATTTCTCTAAAATTTCCTTGATTTTCTTGGATAATTTGTCATTTTAAATGAAGTTACAAAGATAGCCGTTATTGTCAAAAAAAAAAAATAAATAATAATAATAAAATTAAAAATGCAAATAATAATTAAACCTATAAGGTAGTTCAACCCTAAAGTTATTTTCGATTTGTTAAAGTCGTTAAAATTAATTCAAATCTCCTGTTATTTTCTTTTATCAGAATTATTATGTCATTAATTCAATTATTAATTAAATTGTTAAACTATATTATATATTCAACTTAATAAATTTTTATGTTGATTATAATCGCATGGCATAATGTTTTTTGTTAATAACTAAATGGAAATAGCAATTTCACATGGGCAAAATTTTTAATAGTTCCAAGAGAATAAATCCAAACGTTGATATTTTATTTCATACAGATTATATTTTATATGCATAAATATTCTGTTAACCGATATCAAATTTATTTCACTTGAACTTTCATAAAAAAATCTCTATCATTTGTAAACTAATGTAATAAATAAACAAACAAATACAAAAGGTTTTTCTTCAAAATATCTTTAAAATATATATATATATTTTTTTTTTTTGATAATTCTCTGTATTATTCTTAAAATATTGTATTCTTTGACCAATAATACAATTAAAATAAATAAGTATTGTTTATACTAAATTTATTTATAATTGGCTTATACATTTTTTTAATGAATTTTTACAATTAAGTTTCCTTGACAATTAGATGTAAATGTTGATTTTATCGACATTTCAGTTCACTTCGTTTTTTCCCGTGAAAAATAAACTATCGTCTTGTGTAATTATTAAGATTTATTTAATTAGTTATTGATATGGCAAGTGAAAAAAATATTTTTGGTCAAACAAATGAATCAAACTTACATAAGGTCATACGCAGAGTTGAAGAAATATGGAATCGTCGTTTCATGCATTCCAATTGTGTTTTAAATAATACAAATAAAGGACAAATATCAAAAAAGTCAACTAAAGATGGAAGAATTATCTGTAAACACTATTAAGATTAATAATTAAACTAACTATTTCGAATAGAGAAAAAGTTTTTTAATATAAAATATAAGAAAAATTAATAATAAGTTCTCTTATTCATATATAACAATAATTCAGTCGCTTTACTTTAATTTAACTATTTTAATATTAAAAACCTTTTTCGATATTAATTATTTAATTAATTAATTATTAAAATTATATTCAATTTGCAGCAATTTGCAGCAATTATTAATAAAAATATTTATCCTATAAAAAATTCCATTATTCCAAAAAAACGCACATATCGAAAAACGAATAAAAAAGATAAAATTATTCCAGAAAAATTGGTAACTATAATTATATTAATATATTTATTCGATTTAGCTATGTTATAGGGATTTGTCTGATTCAAAAATAAAAAATAAACTATCAACCCCCTTAATATAAATGCAGTTACATAATGTTTAATATTATTCTGCTATTTTTTCTATTAGATTGTTATGGGAAATTCAATTTTTATCGAAGATAATAATATAATATTAAGTATAGTTTATTTGTTTATTTAAATATCTCTTTGGTTACCTAGAATATGATGCAGCAAAGAGAATTCGGAACACTTTTTCAGAATGAAAAATCTGAAAAATATAAAAATGAAATTTTAAATTCAACAGAAAAAAAAAATATAGCAATTTCAAAAGACAATCCGCTATTAATATCAGCTGATTTGTTAGAAAAGGTATATTTTATTATGCTTTATTTCAATAAAAAGATTTTAGGGTATACCCTAAACCATTTTTTGGACTTAAAGCAGATTTCTTAAATAAATTTATCATATAATTAAATATATTTTTATGATCCGTTAAGAATTTTCATAAGAAAAATTTAGAACGCAAAAAATCCGAAATAAATAAACAACTTTTTGAGATATCTAATACTACTGCTCGACCAAATTTAAAAAGAAATTCATCCGAAGAAGATGAAAAAGTCATAAAAAGTATACAACTTTTAAAATATAATTCATTTTTAAAAAATATGAAGTTTTTATTTTTGAAACAAATATGTAATATTTTTAAACATAAATTATTTTAGAGCCAAAAGTTAGTTCTAATCCTTTGACCTTAAATACGCCGAATGACGTAAATTTACTTGCTCTGTCCACTATTGAAGTAATAAAAGTACCAGAGAAAGAAAAAGGTAATTAGTTATTTAATCTATTTATTTTATGTAAAATTAAATAAAAAAAGATTATTTATTAAACATAATTAATTATAATAATACGAGTTAAATTAATATAACTTCTGCAGAGGCGTGTCATTAAGGGGGTCCATGGACGTTTTAAACAAAAGTAATTATACGTGTTTAATTTCATATTCCAAAACCTTAAATAAACCTAAATAATAGTAAACTGTTCAACAAAGTCTTTTATTAATTTTATGAAAAATGTTTAAATATGGTTACACTTGCAGAAGTAATGCAAGATCAGAACACAAAATCTCTTGATCAGTATAATGCACCTTCATTTAAATCGCCCACATCATGGTATACTTCAGACACAATTAATGAGTACATTAAAATGATAGTAAAACGGTCAGAAGGTGAAGTTTATGCAGTTGTCACTGATTTTATTGTAGCGTATCTTCGAGGAGGTTATCCAGCTGTAAGAAGATGGATAAAAAAAGATATTCACACAATAAAATTACTTTTTGTGCCCATGAATGTATATGAGAGTCATTGGATATTGACAGTGGTTAATATACCTGAAAAGACTGTGACATCATATGATAGTCTTAAGTCGTATAAGGGTCCTTATCCAATGGTATTAAAAAATTTCTTAATTGAATGGGAGATGGACAAAAAAGGAAAAGCTTCTACATGGACATTACAAATAGGCGAGACATCTCGCCAAACCAATGGACATGATTGTGGGCCATTTACTGTTGAGCTGGCAGAAAAAATGTCTCGAGGAGATACAACACCAATAAATGCAAATTTTATGCCTTTTATAAGATTAAGACACAAAAATGAAATTATTGCTGGCGAGCTATTCAATTAATATTTTTATGAATGAAATTTTATTTTTGTATTTTATATCAATTTTCTTAATATTCACTATAAATTGAAATTTTTATTTGTATACCACCAAACATTTTTTTACTTTTTCTATGTTTAATTGTTGTTTTGTTATTTTATTTTAATCTTATTTTTCTTTGTAACATTTCATTTAAGAAATTCAAATTTAATATAAATTTATCTTAACTGAAATAATTTAATGTTCTTGTTATGTGAATATACAAATATTATAATATACAGTTATGGATACAATTAAGTTAAAAAGTCAGCCAATTATAAATTTTTAAATTAACAAGCGTATCTACTATCTTAACAACTTAATTTTAATTTTACTAAATGACGATTCATAAAGAATTTCATAACTTTTGTTTATTTTTTAAATACTATTTTAATTATAAAAAATTCTTTTCTGTATTTTTTATAAATGCGGTATATTGAATAGGGGTAACTAAACTTATTTGTTTATAATTCTCTAAACTGATAAACTATAAAATAAATTTAAAAATGAACTACAAGTTCAGAATATTTCCGTTGTTATTATATTTTTGCTGTGGGTATTTTTGTTATCTAAATGACCCAATGAAATCCAAATAATTTCTAGAAATCTCTGATAAAATGTAGATAAATACGTGTCGTCGAATCCTATCAAATTATCTTCAATTTTGTTATTTATTTAAAATACCATTTATTTTATAGTANCTTCAATTTTAAGTATAGACGTGGCATAGTTTTGACTAGTATAAATGATATCTGACAGTGATTAAAATCACTATCATAAGAAACGCTTCGATGCAAATCTGTAGATCGTGTTTAATTTTAAGAAATTGGTAAATGATTTAAAAAACAACATCAATTCCTATTGACTTGATTATATCCTGATTAGTGGTTTGATTTAAAAGTATAATATATGAATGAATACTTATTATAGTAATTAAATTTAGTATGAAATTGATATTCAATAATTTAATATTGTAATTTAAACGGAGAAATTATAAAAATAATAAAGAAGTTGTATTTTGCTTTATTTTTACGTGTATAAAAGTTTAAAGGACTTAATGCAATACTTCTCAATAACAAATGTTTGTTACTTATGAATAAATACACTGAACTATAGGAACTTTCATCAGAAACAAAACTATAATTTTCTAAATCAACTTTTCGCGCTCTTTTCAAATCTGCAATTAGACTTTTTCTATCACAAATTTAATATGTATACCTAGTGTACTATTATTGGCATCTTAAGAACATTACCTAGGTTTTAATTAGTATATTTATTTTGTTACACAAGTTGAATTTTTCTGACTAGAATTTATAAGTCAAAAATTTTATTAAAATTCAGATGCGTATAAGATTAAAAAATACTTTTTTTTTAAATAAAAAATTTAAAAAATTTGTTTATAAAATACAGTATTCGTTAATTACAGAAACCCCATTAATGACAAAAATTGCGAAACAACTTTTTTTGTATATTCTTGTATTCTAATAGTAGACGCATCGATTTGTGCAGAAATCTCATATGTGCATCTTATTTATGCGGCTAATCGCATCTTTGGAATAATTTGTTTAGAGCAGAAACCCTACAAGTGACATCGCAAAGGGGATTTCTACACTAAAATAATTTTTTATTTTAGTGCATTTTTTTTCAAATACAATTTATTTATAAATTTAATACTTAGTAACTAAGTATAATAACTGTTATTGAATAACAGTTATTTATAACGTAAATTTGACGTTTGCGATAGTGGTTACAAAATATTGCGCGCTTGCTGTTGCTATGCATTACTGTAGTAGTATTTAGGCGATACGCACACAATATGAGTGTGATATATTTAATATTAATTTAGCTGTTTAGTTTGTTGTTCTTCGGTTATTTTATCATTTACTGTGTCTTAAAATGTCGAGTGAAACTGAATCTAATGAAGATATTCCGAATAAAAGAAGAAAAGGTGTTGTCCATCCAAAAACTTACAAACGAAACATTATTAATGAATCCCGAACTCGCGGAAAAGAATTTGTAAATTATAAAGGTAAGAAAATTTGTCAAAAAACTCCTCCTCATGAAATAAAATGCAAATGCCCTGCTAAATGTTTTAAGCTTATCACGAAGGAAGTGTTGAGTGATATTTGGACAAAATTTTAATCAATGGAAAATAAAAATAGTCAGGATATTTATCTACAATGGTTGATAGAAAAAAAGAAATTAAACGTCATACGAAATCTAAAATGTTAATACCAATTATAAAAAATCGTAATAAGACAAACTATATGCACGTAGATGAGATAGACGAAGAAGAGTTAAAGTATGATGATCAGAACGTTCAGAAAAATTTTAAACGACAAAACTCTTTTGTTTATAAACTTCGGGTTAATGGTGAGTTTTTCACGGTTTGTAAAAATGTTTTTATTGCTGCAAATGATGTCACAGCAGATCGAGTTCGCAGACTTTCTTCCCTTCTTTTAAATAATAAAACGCCGGAAGACAACGTGGAAAAAATATTAGTGGAAACGCAATAGCCGGTGACATTTGTGTTAAAATTTATCAACATATCAATCGATTTAATGATAAAAATACCCATTATGGAGGAAAATCTAAAAAATATTTAGATGCACGATTGAACATCGTAAAAATGCATCAAATGTTTGTAAAAGATTATCCAGATTTAGCAGTCAAAGTAAAATACAACTTCTATTATAATATTTCAAAGAAAATTTTGATTATACCTTTGGTTAACTACAAGTAGATGTGTGCAGCCAGTGCGAAAGTTTAAACACGCAAAATAAGAGATCCAACCTTAAGTGAGAATACTAAACGGGATGCAGTTGGTGAGTTTATATTACACAAAAGAAGAGCCAAAAAATTTTATACTGAGTTAAATACTGCCAAGGGAAATAAAGATGATGACACGGTAGTTTTATGTTTTGATTACGTGTCAAACTTACCCTTATCGAATATACCTGGGGGTCTATTTTTGAGTCGTTCGTTCACGAATGTATACGTTCAGATTTTATTTTATATAGGTTTCTATGGCGATATATATTTTATTGTTTAATAATTAATAATATATAATTTTACTATATATTTTATAGTTTCACGTATTTTTTTTAAATTTAAGTTTATTATTAAGGATCAATTCTTAAGTTATAGTCATTTTTTGTTAATAACATAAGTATACATTTTAATTACTTAATAAAATAACTGATATAGCTTGTAAATTTAATAACAATAAGAAAATAAATATAATAAAATATGGTAATAGGTAATGAATGATGCTCGGAGGAAATACACAACCACTAAAGGAAAGTTAATATCTAAATGATTCGATAAAACATTATTAAGATAAGAGTTACATTATGGCATAGTTGTAAAAAATACTTTTAAAAAGTATTTTAAATAATATTCAAATATTTAAAAATAAATGTTTTTAAAATATTATTTGAATACTTTTCATAAAAAAGTATTTGAGTAATACTCAATTACTTTACAAAAGTATTTCAAATACTAACAAGGGGAGGTCACGGTGATGGGGTCATCGATTTTCATAAAATTTATATAGACCTAATCTATATTGAATACAGAATCAGACGTATTTGGAATTTTTTGCCAATGCCCCCCCTAAGTCGAGAAAATTGACTTTGAAAATTTTTAATTAGCTTAAATGGGGTCATTTTTCTTCCGGTTAACAACTCGTGTTATGGTCCAGTGGACTATACGTGATCCCACAACACGTATAGGCTCGGGATCGAGTCTCAGGGACTGTTGAAATTTTTTGCTTTTTTTTTCACTGTTTTCTCTTTAAATTATTAATTTTACGTAATATTTGTTAAATTTTTGTATACATTTTATTTATCTATATAGTTTTATTTGCATTCAAAGCACATTTTGATGGTACAAATTATCGATGGTAAAACTATGATTAAAGTAAACTAAACTTTTATACACATAAATATAACTTTTACTATTAACCAGGTAAGAGTATATGTATAAAGAGATGATTATGAGGATTTAAATATATATAAAATCATTATATATTTTAATTTAACCTATTGTAATTTTCAAAAAAATGTATGTTTGTTATATGACAAAAGTCATAGTCAATTGAATAAATAATAATTTATAATTATATTTTTTATTATTATTAATTTNTTATTCAAATATATTTACTCAAATGCTTTACGCCTTTGCATTATGGTTAAAATTTTAGCTAATAATTGTTTGGTCTATTTTATGACCCAATTAATAAATAATAAAATTTATGGACTTTTATAGTTCTTGATGAAAGTATGAGTTGAAGTCTGTATTTATATGTACATTGTAAATATAATAATTCATTTATTTATAGGGTTTTTTTACCTCTATTGTGTGAACACTCGCAGAAGAAAAAAATATATATGTTTTAAATATTACGTCATATATATATAAGTAAAATATGTGTATAACTCGTCATATGTGTAACAACTATTTTGTTGATATAATAGTATAATAATAAGACGACAATCGGGTTATTGTAGTATCCTTGCATCTTTTGCATCATAAACCTTTTGAAAATTTGCCTTAAGTTTTTTGTGAAATTATTCATGTATTTGTATGTGTTGAATGGAATAGGTTATGTAATTAAAAGATTTAGAAATTATTCGTAATATAATAGTATTTAATATAAAATGTCAAAACATATAATATAAGAGATGTACAACGGCAACGGGTCACTTTACTCGATAGACGGTGAAACTACGACTAAACTGTAAACATGTATACAATAGGCTGCATTGAGTAAAACAACATAATCGTAAAAGGAATGTGTCCCTTTGACCTTGTACTATACTAACATAAGTAAAAATACATTAAACTGTTATCTTAAATAATATTACTGTACCCAGTGTGTTGTTTAATAATATCAACAGTATGTTTACAACTTTTCTAAACAGTGGCTTTTTTAGGAGTAGACCGTGGCCTAGGGTTGCATTTTTTTGAATTAAGAATTAAATTCTTATTAAATTTATTATTAATATGTATTTAATTATATGTAACATAATTTAATAAATTATAATTAATTAATAATATAAAAATAAACAAATAAAATTATAATATAAAATGTATGTAACACCTTATTTTCGAAAATTTAAGTATTGTTGTTTAAAGTGTATTAATAATTTTTAATTTAACATGTATGCAATTGTAAATACATTTTTTTTAGAGTTTGTGTAATTAAATTATTTATATAATTTTGGCGAATTACTTAAACTAAATTCACATCAAGTAAATTAAATTAACAAATTATAAATGTTTGTGTTGGTAATAAATTATTGTTATTAAAAAGTAGTATATTAATTTAAAATAATTATTTTAATATTAAAAATCAAGTTGTATAAATTTAATATTCAAAATATTTATTGATGTTATTACAATAAATCGCAATCAATCGTGGAACATAAACATTCATCAAATCATACCTAGAAAGCTGTATACCCAATTGAACAATAGAATCCGTTCGAGGAACGTGTCCGTTGACAATTCAAAAATAGACCCTCTGTTCAAGAGGTTTTTTTATATGCGTTAGTTATGGGTAAATATTTTTTGTATACATAACGTTAAAACAAATCAGGCAAAAATGTAAATGTACCATGAAGGAGAGGCTAGGAAGTCTCCGAATGAGGTTTGTTCTTTTCTCCTACATTATTTTGAAAACTGTATCCCCGTCAACACAAAGAATATTATTCTATTTAGTGATAAGGCAGCTGGGCAGAACAAAAATCATACAGTGGTGAGGTTCCTTATGAATTTATGCGATCGAGGAAAGTTTGAGACCATCACTCATTTTTTTCCAGTTCGCGGACATTCGTTTTTACAATGTCATAGGGATTGTGGTTCCATAAAAAGACTTTTAAGAAAAACAGATCGTATCTATACACCACAGTAATACGCTTTACTTATCATAGAGGCTAGCAGGTACGATTGTTTTTCCGTTCACAAAGTGCAAACAAACGAAATTCTGAGTTTTAAAAACTGGTGGAAATCTTCATACAAAAAAACAATTAATTCAGACGAAACTTCAAGAAGAGGAATTCATAAGGACGACAGAATTACATTCAAAATATCTTCATACAAACACTTTATTTTCGCAGACATCGCTTACCTGGAAAAGTGGAAGTTAATACCTTTATTAATGGCCTCTATTCTTCTATGTTTACTTTTAGGAAAACCAATCGATCTCCTGATCTGCCAACTACCAGAGCTTACTCTACTGGGAAAGTTTCAATAAACAAAATAAAAATTGACGACTTGAAAAAGCTTTCGAAATATACTACAGACTATTCAGATTTCTATAATATTATTTTGAGTTGGCCAACATCAGCTCAAGAGGAAAGAATGGACGATTCAGAATATGAAGAACAATAATAATAAATTAAAACATTTTAATTTGTGTAAAATTTTTTTTTTTTTTATACTTTTAAATATCTGCTTGTAATAATTAAATTTGTTATAGTTTATTAAAAGTCTACCTTGTTAATTTTTCCTCTAATTAAATGTATTATTACCTTAAAACTAGAAAATTAATGTTGTAAATGTATTTTATTGTAGAAACACCATAACTGCAAAGGGTAAGGGTTTAAATTGACCTCTTCCCTTCAACCTTGATGAGTTTATTCGATGTTATGTATAGAACCTTCCTTTACTTTTAGGAAAGAAAAAAAAACTTTTAGGAAAATGAGAAGTTTTTATTAATTTCTCGATAGTTTAAATTTCTGTATATAAAGAGTTTCTGAAATAAACGATTAGTGACAATAACTGTTATTGTCACTATTACTGCGTGTTCACATTGCCGTCTGACTTTATCAAATTCCTATTTGGAGCTACTCGTGTAGTCATATCACTTCCTCACCACCACCTATTATTTCTCTATTTACAATGATAACTCATTCTGGTCATATGATTATCTATGTACGTGTCCTAACTGTCAGTCAAATTCTTTCTGTTGCTTTACTACCTGTCTAGTAATATTTACCGTATTTTTCTCCACTAAGGCTGTTAATTCTCTATCTGAAGATTTTTATTATCATTTTTTACACACGTAGTGTACATGAAACGTGCTGTGTGGCGTCTGTTAATTGATTAATTAACACTAGTTTTGCTATTCGTTGCCTTTACGTATTTATACGATCATTTAATTGAGTGTTAGTCTCCTCTATAAATTAACTTCTTTTCTTAGTGTAGGCCTTCTTATATCTGTTATCTATGTCTTGGAATTTGACATTCTCTGCATTAGAAATCCGATTATTAAGACTTTTTAGATGTTGCGTATGTTATTAAAAGTTCATTTCTCTTGATAAATGCAGTTAAAAGTTAAGATCAAATAATTGTGTACAAATATATTATTATTGCTACTTATTTATTTTTTTTGTTTTGTAGGCGCATGTGTTATATAAAACACTGTTATGTATACTTCGACATGATGTAAGTTAATCGAACGAGAAAGACTTTATACGATTATAAAAATAGTTTATTTAATTTCATTGTAAATGGCTTTGGCTAAAATTTTTCAAAAGAAAAAAAAAACTAAAAAATTAGTATATAGATGTTCAGTAAGTAAGAAAAACGGGTCAATTATTATAATTGACCTGTTTTCCTTACTTGGAACTCTGTATAAAATAGTTTAAATGTATTTATACAATAATAAAGGAAATAAATAAAATTTTAGAAGAAAGCTTTGAGTTGTAGACAAATATCTACTTTTAAGGTTCTTCAAACCTTTAAATAGTTCAAATTTGTACGTCCATTTGGCAAAGAATTTTTATAGCTCTTTCTTATTACCATAAAAATTTTAACAATAATGATTTTGATACTATTGAAACCCATATTATTGTTAAGAATAATATACACGAACCATCATAAAATAAATAAGCAATATAAACATTGATTCCAATATATATAAATATATTTCTTTATAAACTACAAAATAAAAATGTTATAGTTCTGTAGCAAGTCGTAGTTTAATTTGATCTAATTCATTCTTTAATTTTTCATAGTCTTCTTTAACACCATCTAATATTCCCTGTTCTTTCTAAAAAATAATAATTTGATCAATAAATAAATGAGTCATAAAAATAAGAATTACACTTACTTCTATTTGTGACAATACAGAAACTAACATAAGTTTTGCTGAGGAAAGATATCTTCGTTTCTGCTCCACATTTTCTACATTATTAAAACAACTTACATAAGCTGAAATTAAATAAAACAAAAAACAAATTGAATATTTTATATTTGATTAATTAAATTAATTAAAATTAGTTAATTTTAACCATTCGCTAATTCCATTGATAAAGATATAACAGATAGACACACATCTGTATTTTGAGCCCATTTGTTTCCTTGAGTTGTAAAACGATGAGCACACTGGAAATGATGTAATACTTTATCAGCTATTTCTTTATTTGGGCAAGAATTACTAGCTTCTAAATCAGCATATAATTTCCAGATTTTGCCATCATTTTGCACCTGTGTAAATCAAGTAATTGGTTCATCCACAAATCAATAATCTCGTAAATTAATTTATGTAAGAGTTAAATATATTTTATACAGTATGATTTATTAAGAATACTACTACCATGTTTCTTTAAATAATGATATTTATTTAACAGTTATTTTATTTAGACTATTTTTCAATAATAAAAAAATAAACATAGGTTTCCATTTAACATTTAAAAATTACCCTTAAATTCTATACAAAGAAATTATTTTTTTTTTTTATAACAAACTTGATATTTGCTAAGGTTCATAAATATAAATTAAATTTTAATCTCTACATTTTTATGAAAAAAATTATTATTAAATTATTATTTAATGAAAAATGGGGGTTATTTTTTTTAATAAATTGCCCTGTATATTCATAGTTTATAACAACTTTAAGCAATTTTGCCTAGTTCAACAATTTAAAAATAAGTTTTAATACTTACCTGAGAAGTAAGTCTACCAAAAAGTTGCAATAAACTTTTTTTATGATCTGATACAGGTCTATTATTTTCATCTTTAACATCATTTTGTACAGCATTAACTAAAATTTGTAAAACCTCCAAATCAACATGTTTATTTTTCAAATCAATAAGTCTATGATAACATTTTATAGCCTGAAGTCATAAAAAAATCATAAATTTTAAAAATATAAACTTAAACCTTAGTAATTTTTGATTATTTTTACCTCTTCGAAGCATCCACAATCAACACTAACAACCATTAGATTATCCCAAACCATCCAATTTTCATAATTACATTTAACAGCTTCTTTGAGGGCATAATAAGCTCTAGATTTTTGACCATTCTTAATGTAGCATTTTGCTAAATTATTCCATGCTTCAAAACACTTGAAATAAATAGTATATCTTGCTTCAAATTAGCACATATTAATTAGATTATAATATAACATATTTAATATGATCTTCTATTATACATAATCTCAGAAAAATAGCAATAAAATTTATCAACTGATATTAAATCATAATTTAACCAAAGAGATAGAAAATTTAGGTAAAATCTTTTATGTATTTGTCAATTAATTTCTTGAAATAAAACTAAATAGCTGTTGTCATCATTTGTTTGAATATATTACTACATTTATTTATTAATGTAATACTACAACCAAAAACATTAATAACAGGAACTTAAGTTATTTGTTTCCCCTTTAGCAGTATTTTATAATTTAACCACATTTTAGCACAGAACAGTGAAGCTTATAACTGTAATGCTGCAACTGGTGGTAAACACAAATAATTTATAAAAAAACTTTTTATATAACTTACATCATTTTCTAAATCACAGTATCTCCTGTATGCTTCTGAAGCATCTACCCATTTTTCTTCTGTCATGCAAGCAAATCCTAATCTAAACCATAACTGATCTTGTAAAGAATTTATTTTCAATGATGCTTTAAAATGTTCAATACTTTTTTCATACTATAAAAATATAATCAATCTATATATAGTTCTTATAAATATTTTCTAAATAAACAGGTAAAGTTTATGTAATTAGATATAAGAGTTGTAAATTGTTTTTAAATTCAAATTATGTTATATTTAATAATTGCTTTAGTAAGATTTTTGTAAAAAAAAAAAAAAGGCTAGAAATTAGCACAACACAATCAAATTTTAACACTCACAAAGCAAGAAACCACACGATCAAGCTTTGTAAATTAAAATTGGATACACAAAATAGTAATACTTCTGGAAATATGAAAGTAATTATAATATTTAAATAAGTTTAAAATTACTTCTTTTCTAGAGTAATAATAAAATGCCCAATGTTTCTGAACTCGACTACTACGAAAGTCAGATATTTTCCAAGCTTCCTCGTATAATGATATATTATCTGTAGCATCACCAAGAAGACATAAAATCAAAATATGCTTAGCTTTAGTCATATTTTCTGACTTCAGTTCTTTTTCGAGAATTTCAGCTGCCTAAAATTAATTTATAATAATATTATAGTGTACCAACAGGTTTTGACATCTTTAATGACATTTGATCTAGGAAATATTTTGCAATACTTTATTTTACTTGTAATTTTTTCCGTTTTGGACTGGGTTAAAAATATATTTTTTATTAGTTATTGATAATAAAAAAAAATTAGGTGTATAGCACCAGTTTCGATTCAAATCAAATTTACAATATTTTGATGAAAGTTATTATAAGAGTAAAACCTGAATCCAAATACCTCATAATCTCAAAGTAGAATTCGTTGAATTACTGCATCATTTGTTGCACATGGCAATTTAATTGTAAAAACCATAATCATCCATATTATAAAAAAACAATAATCCTCTAATGTCTCTCTTGTATGTTTTCCATTCAGTAATTCTTTAAAATACTCTTTCCACCTATTTTTCACATCATCACCACTCGATAGCACTTTCTTATCAGCACTTTTTATACACCATACATAATAATAATCTTTAGACCGTTTTTCTCATACTATTGGAAGTCTATAGACTTATTTTTCACTTTGATTTGTTCCATCATCTAACTCATCATATCTCTTAAATTTCGCATTATTTACCGCACATTTGGCTTCTTTGCACAAACGTTTAAACTCCATCCAATCTTCTCTTCTTTTGCTCTTCTGCCATACTTTTTCTTACTCTCTATGATTTTTTAAACGTTCTCACCGCACCACCAGATTTCCTGGCATTCTACTTATACTCTCACTAACAATCTCTTTTGCAGTATTCTTTACACAAATAGCAAATCTATTCCACACACATTTATATCTCCCTCAACATTCCACATTGTCCTCTCTTTTTTTATTATTAAAAATAAACTTAAAAAAATTATTTAATTTAAAAAATAACTTAGTTTAAAACTGTAAAAATTTAAAAAAAAAAACCTAACGCAGAATATTTATTAGATTAATAGTTATTAAAGATGTCAAAACCTGGTGGAACTCCGCGTATAAGTTACTACTAAAAACATTTTTCATTCATATTCTATTTGTGACCATATGCACAAAATATAAAAAAATTACAAGTACTGATATATATATAATTATATTTACTTTATGTTTTAAACCTTGAACATTATAACAAGCAACACATTCTTCCCACATATCTGATTCTAAAAAACAGTCAAGAGCACTTTGAATCGCTCCGATTGACAGAAAAAGATTACCAAGATAAGCTTGTAATTGCCAAGAAGGTGTAACAAATGAACAATGAAATAAATACAAACGATCAATTATTAATGGGGTCTTCATATTTATACTGCTGATTAAGGTCTGGAAAAATAAATGAATAATTTAAAACTCAAATATTTAAATATTGTATATTTTTTAAATTTAAAATAGTTTGATTTAACATAAAAAAAAAATTGTTGGAAATAAGTTTTTATTATAACATCAGTGTTAAGTAAAAATATTATAAGAAAATTAAATAATTATTTACGGCATTAAATTAAAATTGATGATATGCTGCATAAATACATTATAAAAAGAAATCTTATAAATAACTATAAATGTTGAATTACAAGGATTTGTAAAATAAAATTTCCTATGTTACAAAGTTTAACTTTTCATGTAAAATAATAGTTATTTAGTAGAAATGTATAATAAGTAAATTTATGATCAATATTATCAGTGAAATAAATTTTACTTTACTTCAATCTGTTGCATTGCCCGTTGAACAGACCTTCTATTATCTGATTCAAGTAAAGATCGTTGAAGTAGTGCAGAAACGTGAATACTCCATACAGATTTTTGTTGTAATAGACACTAAATTGTTTATACAATTAGTTATGTTGGATGATAAAATTAAAATGATAAATGAAAAAACATTACTCTAATAAAAGGTTGAAGTTCTTCTTTCTGTAAATCATCTTTTGGTTTACTTTTTTGCTCTAACATTCTGTTAAATAAAAAAATAATGAATATTAAAATATATTAACACATATTAAGAAAAATATGATGAAAACAATCTAAGAGAATTTTATTTTTAATATTTATAGACCTATTCAATTATTATAATATATATTTATTATTAAATAAGAAATATGAAATACTTTTTTATAACTATAATACTGAATCCTTAAAATTTAAAATTACTTAAATCAAACTTCAGATAAGTAAACTTAGAATAAGTCTAACAAATGTATATTATGCTTAATAATTTTAAGCACAAATATTTTATAATTTTATTTTAAATAAAATATTTGTTGTTAAATTTTTTTTTTTTTTTAATTGGAATATTTATACTTTAAAAATTAATATTACTTGGAACAATAATTTTTAACTTCTAGTATTAGATATAACATCTACAGAAAAATTATTCTAGTAGTGTTCTGAAAATCATATTTGACAAGACAAAAAAAATCATAGTTAGTGCTTTAATCGTAATATTTAAAAAAATTTTTAAATATAAATTTGAGATTTAATATTTCAAAATAACCATACACAAATGTGAATAAAAACTAAATAATTACAGTGAATTTAATATTGCAGCTTGTTGAAGACTGTTTAGTGTTGGAAATTGACCACAGACTTCATTTGAAAATTTTATATCATTTAACCGATTTTCATCATCCAAAAGACAATCCTAACAAAGTTAAAGAAAAAATTATAAGCCTTTAGATATAAATTTTTAAAAACTTTTATGTACATACCGTTGGTAAAGTATTACAAAGGTGATCAACACAATAATGATGCTCATTAGTATCTATATCTTTAGATAGAACATTTAGAGTTAATTGTGCAAATTCTTTCACTTGATATTTTGTTCTTTTGCCCATTGCCCCTTTGGAAATATTTATATTATTTAAGAAATTAATTAAATTAAAAATGTTTAGTGCTTACCAACAAGTGAATGTTGTAATCCCAATAAAGTCATTGCTTTATTTAAAGATGATGAAGCTTTAGAAATATTTCCATAGTGAGAAAGATAAATTTTACATTGCTCTAAACGATATAATACTTCTTCTTCTTTAATAGTCCATTCTCCATTCTCAATTTTTTTAAAAGATTCTTCGATAGTTATTTTTATATCATGTGACAAGTCAATCAACAATGATTGCAGAGTTGAAAGCATTCTAATTTTCCACCAAAGTCTAGTCTACATTATAAACAGATTTAACTAGCTTACAAAAATAGTAAATTATCTAATTAAGAAAATGACCAGTCAATAATAATTTTGGCTATAGAATAGGTTTATATCTTTAGATATTTCTCAGTCTCACTCCTGTCAATGTTTAAAATAGTCAATAACATTCGTAGTACAGATCCAAAAGTCATTTTCTTAATTAGATCATTTCCTATTTTATAAACTAATTAAATATATATGTTACCATTTAAAAATATAAAGTTGACACCCCTATAAGTTATTACGGATGATGATAAAAAGTAATTAATAACTGATAAAATAAGAAATATGTGTAACTAAAAAAAAAAAAATTTCTATATTATATTTATTTTGTGAGTAATTAAATAGTTTATAATAAACGGATTATCCTGTATATCATCATAAAACTTACATTTGTCATTATTTTATCACAACTGAAAACTGCATAAGCTATGGCTAATAGTTCAGGATTTAAAACTTTTCTTGATATACAATCAATATCATTTACTAAACTTTCAATAACTTCACAACTAGTTCCCCAGACATCTAGGTCCCTATAAAAACAAAATTTCTACATTATTTAACTAATTACACCATAAATTATTATATTATTACAATGTTGATAAATGAGGCCCAGTCCAATTAATTTGTAAAAATAATTGATAGCAAGCTTGACCAATCATAAAAACTTCTTCATTTCTAAAAAAAAAAAAATTTGATTTAAGATTTTAATTGAGATACCAATAATATAGGATTTTTTACTTCCTAACCTTGTTGGATTACTTGATAAAAAATCATTCAAATATTTAATAATAATAAAACCAAAATTTGTAGATTGAATTAACGACTTTATTTCTTTGTACAGGTGCAAAAATAATTCATTTTGCAAAACTTTGATATAATTCCCTTCTATAACATCTTTCAAAATGTCATATACATTACTACCTGATGACAAATAAAATAATAAATTCAACTAATATAAATTATTATATTAAAAATTAATATTTTATTATGTTTATTAAGAATACCTTCACTAGAAAACTTTTTTAATATTAATTGTGAATTTCCAAATATTAAACATTTGTCTAATTCAGAATCTGTTTCTTCAGATACATTCTTCATGTTAGAATAATTTAATGTAATTTTGATTATTATTTTTAGTTTTATTCATATACTAAAATTTTAAATAATAATGAAGGATAACAAGAATATGAAGCAATCAACAATTGAATTTTAAAATAATGGCACATGCATCATATCTTACTATCAGATGGGTACACTAGATCATAACCTCAAAAGTTATAGAGAAAAAACCACAGATATATAATAGACATATTTTTTATTATGTATCTGTGAAAAAAACAAGGTGGATTTTTATCAGAATTCAAATTTGAATATGCTAATAATACAGAAGATCGTGAGTCAGAATTAGGAAAGAAAAGTAGTTTTATCGGGACCTTAACACTTTTTAGAAAAAATGATAAGAGCCTTTTAAAAATATTTTTAAAATGTTAACTACCAACTTAATTTGAGGAATTGAGAAAATAGAAGACGCCGTTATTTTGAAATTCCCCCTTTCACAAGAAATGTATAACAAAACCGAATTGTCTGATAAGGCCTCGTGTCTAGTTCATAGTTAAAGAGATTGTAAATCGTCCATTTTATATTAGTTTGTGGTTTAAATGTTTATTCATGTGTGATAAGTCCTCAATGTCTGTTCATTCTTATATTATCTATATGTACAAAGATGTCGCCAGAAACCACGTTATTTACGCATCCATTCTTTAATTTTTGATCAACATCCATTGTGCCTCTTTCAATTACTATTTTTTTGGATTAATCGTTAAAAAAAATTTTTCAATTTATATTACCTTAAAAATACCATATTTTTTATTGTCAGTTTGATTTATTTTTACTGTGTTCAACTTCACCTCTAATTATAATGCTTGGTAAGAGATAAATTTTTCAATAAATTGAATTGTTTTGTAATTTCTGAAATGTTTTTTAATTATGATATTTTAATTACTAACTGATATGAATCCATTTCTAATGAAAAATGATATCATTTATTTATAAATTCTTTGTCTCGAAGCAAAGAAGTTTTTTTTTTTAATTTTTTTAAATTGTAGTTGTAATTTTACTGCATATTTTGATTCAGGCAACATTATTCTGATATGGTCGCCCTAATTAACAGAGTAAAAAAAAGTTTCCCAATAATAATGCGTATATTTAAGTTTTCTTTAGCTTTATTTCCCCTGGAACTAAAGAATTATTCAATCAGTTTTATAGTAATATATTTTAAATGTTTTAGGTTTTTCAATTGGGGATATAAATTTTATCTATATACTAGTGAATGCTGGTAAAATTATATCTTCCAATCATATATTTCATGTATCCACTCAATGCTACACTGAGTATTTTATGGACAATTGGTAATTTTATGAATCGACAAAGGTAAATACAATATTATATTAAACGAAAATACTAAATAACTATATTAAATTATTTGAAATAAAAGTTGGAAAGAAAATTTATTATTTATTATTAAATAATATTAAGTGTTTAGTAGTGATAGGATTTTTTGTTTCTTTTAATGCCAGTCAAAAAAAAGAACAAAATAAAATGATTTGTTCTATGGTTAATTCTTACTATCCTAGTCTATTGATACCAAAGTATTTAATGAAATTATTATGTCTAGTTTTATTGTTTGCTGTATATATTGTGTAGGTATAAAATCCAGAAAATGCAGATCTGTTTAGTACCTTATAAAACATACAAGACTAAATTAATTAATCTATTTTGTGATAATACTACAAATTTATGACTTGCATTTGTTACTCCACGGTTGTATATAACTGTTGCAATAAGTTAAACTAATGAATTTTAGTCATATTGTTAAATATTAACATTGCATTATAAATCTTAATGTTTCTTATACAAATATTTGAATTTTATTATTAACATAATGTTAATAGTTGGATTATCTATTTTATCATGATATTAAAACATTAAAAAAAATTTATTTATTTATTTTCATATTTTATTCAATTATAGTATTATTGAAAAAGCAAGTAATATGAATCAAATTTTTAAGTAGTTAATAATAATTGAATATTCATTTTTTTTTTGTGAGCCTATTTCAAAAAAATTAACATATTACATAAATTCCTAGCTATCAAATCTATTAATATGCATTTAATTTTTATTTATGTATAATAAATTCTGCAGCAACTGTTTTTAACATAATTCTAAAAATCAGTAGTGTTATTTGTAGGAGACTAGTAGATTGAGAAAGTAAAATATATAGTTATAGTAAATAATATAATATTATAGTTTATTTCTAATCTTATTCAAATAGTTAATAATGCTAATAATAAAAGTATTAATTTATTAGTGAGGTATACAAGGTAAATGGTTAACTATGCCTCACAAATTATCTCTGAAAATATAAGAGTTATAAACAATTTTTGTTTTATTTATTTATTGTGGATCTTTGGTGAGCTGTTTCACAAGAAAATTTAATTTTCTACCACCATTCCTTATGCTGAAAACTAGTATTAACTTCATATTTTCAAATGGCAATCCTATTTTTTTTTACACCTTAAGATTTAGTTTAATAAAAAAAAAAAATTTGGAAAAAATATTTTATTTTATTTAATATTAAGTGCTCCACGGCTCTAAAGTTTAGGGTTTATTAAGAAAAAATCATAACTAACTAAAAAATTATAGGTCGTAAATCATAGATAATGAAAACAGCAAGCATACCTAAGTTTTTCACGTCTTGGTACAATACACCGATAGTTCTTATCAGTACATTAAATATTAATGTTACTGTATTTACCTGACTACTGTTTTATTTGTTAAATCCCTTAAACGTTAAATAGTAATATCTCGTTTAGAATTGATTAAAATTGATTTTTTCTTTTTGGGAATTTTTTTTTTTTATGCTTAACAAGATTAATAAAATGAAAACTTGGTTGCTATTTGAAATACTAAAGTTGATATTGATTTGAGGGTTAAGGGATGAAGATGGAATCTTCATATTTCTTGTCAAGTAGCTCAACAAAGTTTTATAACAAATAAAACAATTACATATATGATAACACTAATATTTTTGAAGAAAATTTGTGAGGCATAGTAAGTCAGTCATTCTGTATGTTATAGATATATTGATTGATATTATGCCGTAATTATGGTGTAGCAGGTTTATATTTATAAAAGTTTTCGTTGAAGGGTTGCACAATTTCTTATATTCAAATTAAAATTATAATACATGTAATTTTTGTAAGAACATGTTTTTTTCTCATTATATTCTTTAGTCTATGTAGTGTGAAATTGCCTCTAAGTGTAAACTAATGTCAATCATTTTTTCATTCTCTGAGATATTTTTATGTGGGATCTCTGTATTTGATAGTGATTAAATACATTATATACAATAAATAATTAAATTAATTAAATATACATAATACATTAAATACATTATGTAGATAGTGTTTAATTATTTATTAACAAGTTTTATTATTTATAAGAATAATACACAGATAAACTATTATTATAGTAATTAAATTTGTTATGAAATTGATATTTAATAATTTAATGCTGTATTTATTAAAGAGAAATTATAAATTAATTGTATATTTTGTTAAGTCTCTGGCAAACGTCTATCAAAATTGTAAATAAAGAAAATTTGATTTTTCTGACCTTTGTTAGTCAATTATAATTTCAGTCATGAAATCTAAATTGTAATTTGTTATAATCCATTGGTAATATTTACTTATTATATGAATTTTTTTTTATTATTAAATAATTTTCTCCTTCAAACAGACATAATCTTGAAAAATTGAATATTTTAACTTTATATTATTTTGATATTATTGTTATTATTCGAATAATTTAAATAATAATTCATTAAATTAACATGAAGAATACATGATTTTAAAACTATGTGCTAGTAAACAATACTGACTATTGTAATTATTTTTGGTTTTCTTTTCATTATATTAGCTAGCATTGCTGCGATTCAGCTCAAAATGGTAGATTCTCATTATAAATTGTAAACATTTTATTAGTGGTTTTACCTTATCTGTGTTAATACTGTTACATTGTGTTTAATTGATTAGGTGCATTAAGTGGTAATCGTTGTTAATGAACTAAGATCTCATTAATTATCATTATATTTTGCGATGTGGTACAAATATTTTGGAACAAATGAATTATAGAGAACGAATGAAGGGAATCAATCTGACTCTTACTCCTCTCAACTCATTCCAAAAGAACAATTTGCTCATAAATGACCCACCATTTAGCATTTAATACTATTTACTTAATATTAAATATTATTGAATTAACATTAATTTCAAACATTCTATCATTATATTTAATCTACAATGAAATAAATGATATTTTATATTTTTATATGATCACTAATGATTACAGAATAAGATTCATGATGTATTGTGAAATAATTTTTCTATTTATCGTCACTACCTATGAAGTGATCATTGTTGTACACAATCATAGAAAATAGGTGCCATATCCTCCACAGTCTAAATAATTAAATGTTGAAGATATAATTTTTTTTGTTTAAAAGAATATTTTAGCTTCGATGTGGAGCTGAGATGGAATTAATTTTACTATATGTTTTAGCTTCGATGCGAAGCTGAGAAGGTATTAATTTTACTATGATGCGTTTTTTTTTTTTTTT